CTGTTAAACGTATTTTCACATTAGCGACGTTGTAAGTAAGAATTAGAACCAATAGGAGGAACCACCAGAAAGAGGAAACAAAACACAACAGAAGAAAAAAATAGCAAATAGTATGCTTCAATCTGCATTCAAACTCCATAGTTCTTTTTTTGGATGTGGATAGCATTTTCCATCATGAGGCTTTTGGAGATGTCTTAGATCCTTGTATTGCTGAGAAGGGTTAAGTCTATCAATATTAGTCATCTCACAATGTGGCTGTTACTGTGTATAACGTTCTCCTGGTTCTGCTTACTTCATTCAGCAACACACCATGCAAGTCTTTCCAGGCTGGAAAATATGTTTTGCACGACTGCTCATGTATAACCTACATCAAATTGCTAGCCTTCTCAAGAAGTGGGGGAGAATTTGGAACTCAAAAAAAATTTTAAATGAATGTTAAAAATCGTTTTTACATATAATTGGGGAAAAATAAAATATTAATTTTTTAAAAAGTAACAGGCAAAAAAACCTACCAAACACTTCCACTAATACTACCACTCCCTTAAGCCCTACATCTCTCCTCCTTTCCTCAGTCAAACTTCTAGAAAAAGTTGTCTTATCCTTGTTTCCTCTACTTTCTTTCCTCATGTACCTTTCAATCCTTTGAAATCTGGCTTCTGACCTAGCTTTCTGACTCAACAAAAACTGTTGTGATCTGAGAGGTTGTGACTCCTCAAAGACTGAAGTACACAACTGGGTCGTCTGGAATGAATTCACAGAATCAAGCATGCTTTAAGTCAAGTTGGCAAAAAGCTTATTATTATGCTTTTCAGTGGGCAAGGATTCTTAAGGAACCTGCAACCTTAGAGGGGTACAGTTAAAGTCTATATAGGATAAAATACAATAAAACATGTATCAAATATGCTAACTAGATGATTCAGGGTGGGATTAAGGAAGGGTTAAGGAGTGGCCAGTTTTTAAAAGAACATGCACTTCTTGTACCTACTGGGAAGGCGTTTTACCCAGAGTTCACTGGGAAAAGCCTACAAGGAGGCCACATGGAGGTGTGGTTTTAGGCCTGCTAAGTCACTAATTTAACTAGAGTTCAGAGGTAACTGACAGTTGTCCTGTCTGCCACCAGTCAATGTCTTGTTTGACAAGATAGATGTAGGGAGTATACATATATCTCTTAGGTCTAGAATACAGTTAACGAGGAGCCCAGGATGTAGATAATGAGGTAGGGTGGTAGTATATATAGTCCAGTGGGTAAGAATGTCTTTATAATTCAGTGCAAAGCCAGTTTAAACTAATAATTCCTTCAGGTGCTGTTTGTAACTGCACCAGGGAAAGAGATAAGGGTCTTGCTGGGGCCCACTCATGAGTAAGTGCTAAGCACAGTGTCCTTGGGCGGGGGAGAAACTGTCAGGGATAGTGTTTCTGAGGCTAGGGAGAGATTGGGGTCCAAGTACAAGCATCCAAACATAAACACCCAAGCACCTCATCAAAACCACTCTCCAAAGGTTCCACTGGTCCCTTCATTGCCAAATCTTTTTCAGTCCTTATCTTCCTCCACCAATCTGCTGCATTTGACACTGTGGACACCCTCTCCTCCTAGATATTCTCTCTTCTCTGGGTTTTTGTGACGCTATCCTCACCTAGTTCTCTTACATGTCTAACTGCTTTTTCTCAGTCTCCTTTGTTGCTTCACTTCCCCTAACTGTGGGTTTTTCTCTATGGCATGGTCCTAGGTCCTCTACCTTCTCTTTCAACACATCCTCTGGATGACCTTATCAGCTCCCATGAGTTTAATTATCTTCTCTATGCAGATGAATGGGGCAGCTAGGTGGTATAGTGGATAAAAGCACTGGGCTTAGAATTGGGAATCATGTTCCTGAGTTCAAATCTGACCTCAGACACTTACTGTGACCCTGGGCAAGTCAATTAATCCTGTTTGCCTCAGTTTCCTCATCTGTAAAATGAGCTGGAGAAGGAAATGACAAACCATTCAAGTATCTCTGAGAAGAAAACCCCAAAATAAGGTCACAGAGTCAGATGTGACTGAAACGACTGAACAACAATAAAATGCAGATGAATGACAAATCTATATATCCAACCCCAGTTTCTTCCCTTTAATCCTGCACAACCCACTTGCCTATTGGACATTTCAAATTGGATGTCTCAGAGACATCTTAAACTCAGCATGTTCAAAATACAACTCATTGTCTTTCCCGCCAAACCCATCCCTCTTTCAAACTTCCAGATTTTTGTTGAAGGCACTGCCATTCTTCCAGTTTCCCAGGTTCATAACCATGGTATAATCATTGACTCCTCATTTTCCCTCACCACACAAAGCCTATCAGTTGCCAAATCTTGTCATTTTTACATCAACAACATTTCTCTCATACAGATGGGGTTGGGATCGCAGAAAGGAAAAACCCTGGGCTTTCCCACAAGGCCAAATCTTTGGCCATTATCCTGAGACTATAATCCCATCAACTGGCCTTTCATTGTGGCTACACTCAATCTCCCCTCCATTGTCTTACCTCCCTATGGCCCCTGGCCATTTCCCACACTTAATCCTAGCTAGGCTCCACTGTCCAGGTCCCAGGAGTTCTGTTCACCCCAGTTTACTGGCCACTCCCATTCAGATCTTCCTTACACCCCTCCTCCAGTCACCCCAAACTACTTGGCGACTCCTAGATCCCTCCACAGTCTTTCTGTATATAAGGTCCATCTTGTCTCCATTAAGGGGCTTAGATTCTTAAAATCTAGCCACTGCTCAGATTCTTAGAATCCAGCCAATACTTGCAGACTTCTAGATTCCTCAAGGGTCTGGCAATATGGTGGATCATTAATAAACCTTGTTTGTGGCAGAAAGAAGGCTTGGGTCGAATTCTTTTAGGCAGGACCCGCATGTCGTGATCTTGAGGTTCTAGCATCCCTAACCTGTAGACCTCATCAATACCATTACCACCTTAGTTCAAGCCCTCATCACCTTTCACCAAAATTATTGCTATGGCCTTTTAATTGGGTTCCCTATCTCAAATCGCTCTCTGCTTCAGTCTATTCTCCCCGTAGCTGCCAAAGAGATTGCCTTTAAGCATAGTTCAGACCTTTAACACTCCTACTTGGTCAACTCTGCTGGCTCTCTGCTGTCTTAAGAATCAAGTATAAACTCTTCTATTTAGCTTATAAGACCCTTTATTACCTAGCTTCATTCTATTTCTCCAGCCTCATTGGACTTAGCTTCTTCTCCTCTGCTCTGTGATTTCAACATACTGGCCTTCTCTCAGTTTCTCAACCAGGACACTTAATTTCCCCTTTCCATGATTTTTCTACTTACTGTGCACCCTATCTGGATTTTACTTTCTCCTCACATCTGCCTCATAGAATGTTTTTCTTCCTTGAAGGTGTAGCTCAAATATCACCCTCTGTGTGAAGCCTTTCCTCATCTCAATTGCTAGTGTCCCCCCCCTCAAGTCTCCTCATACTACTTTGGATTTATTTGCATTTATTCCATATATGCCTATATATGGCATTGTTAGATTATAAGCTCCTTCTAGCAGGCATTTTAAAATTTATTGTATTTGTATTCCTTGTTTCTAACATATAGTAGGCACTTAATAGACAGATATATTGATGTACTTCGTTATTTACATGTGGACTCTCCATTAAAATGTAAATTTCTTGAGGGCAGGAATTTTTTAAGCATTCCTTTGTATCTCCTAAGCTTAGCACAGTGTGTGATCTGTAGTAAACCCTTAATGAGTTCTTTTTGATTGATTTATTAATAAATGATTATTAAATTAAATTTAATTAGGTAAGGGATTACTATCCCCATCATTCAGATAAAACAACTGAGGTTCAAAGAAGCTGAAATTGCCTGAGGTCACAATGAAGTGATGGAATAGGAACCTGAATCCCACAGTCACAATTATTCCTATAATCCTTCACCATAGAAGAATAGAAAAACATGACTCAGTCCTGGGGGTAGTGTGCCAAGGAAATGAGCTGTATTAAAAAAACAATATGACTAAAACATCTTCTGCCCACAGCATGGAAAAGGGGCCAGAATGCATCTAGAAGTTTTTATGATTGGGTTATGTTCTAAGCATAAGTTCTAAGTTTTCTTCTCAGCCTATCTTGTCACCCTCATCTGCATACCCATTCCATCTTTCAAGTTATTCCACCACCTGTGGGAACTCAATAAGATGGTTGAAACATTTTTGTGTGGATTTGCCTGGTCTCCCTCCTCATGGCACTAGTGGAAAACATTGGAGAACCACTTGCTGGTCCATCCAATTAAAATCCATTCAACAAACATTTATTAAGTGTCTATTTTTCTAGGCACTGTGCTTCACATTTGTCTTCCAGAATTACCTCATCCATAAGTCTCAGTCCCTGTCTCATAAGGAAACAAACACCTCAGGTGCTAGTAGGTTCAACCTCAATAAATATTTCATCTAATTGCATTTTATTTTTTTTTCTGTGAGACTTTCATTTTCTTTTTTTAAAATTTAAAATGTAATTTTTCCCTAATTACATGTAAAAACAATTTTAACATCCTTTTAAAAAATTTTTGAGTTCCAAATTCTCTCCCTCCCTTCCCCTCCCCCGCTATTGAGAAGGCAAGCAATTTGACACAGGTTACACATGTGTAGTCATGCAAAACATGTTTCCATGTAAGTCACTGCATTTTAGTTCAGATCTGACTCTCTTTACCCTGAGCTGTACCCTTAATAGATGGGGGAGCTGGGAGCAGTCAATTCTGTATTGGGAAATACACTTGTGTCCTTTGTGGGGGTGTGCTTTGAATGAATGGCTTCCTCTCATTAAGGTTCTCTGTTTTCCCTCCTTTCACATTCCTATGACCCCATCTTTTTCTGGAAGTTATAGGATGCTCAGGAGGTTGGGGTGCTGACTAATCCTTCCTGATTCCAGGCTTTGTGTGTCTGAGCTATAAGGTTTGGGGTATAATCCTAGACCTCACTAGTACCCCTCCCATTCCTTTGCCCACTCACCTGCAGGGCTGCTTCCGGATTCCCAGTTAGCAGGAGCACGCAGCTCATGTTGAAGCAGATCTTGGAAGAAGGCTCTTTGATTCTGGAGAATAATTCCAAGGCCAAATCCCATTCCTCCCTATCCAAAGCCTGGACAGCTTCATGCCAGCCTTTCACCAAACCTCTGTATGACATTAAGAATGACCCTAACTGCACTCTGGCCTAATTACCCTGTGGGAAATAAAGGGCTCTTTGTAAAGGTATAGAATGAGCACCTTATAGCTTAGAAGTTGTAAGAGGATTGGGGCTGACACTCCTCTGAAGGCAGCCTTACCAGTGTGAATATCTAGGCTAAGCAGGAAGTAAAGCCCCTTTCTATTTACCTAAGTAAGAGGTGGAGGCAGCTGTGGGTGTGTGTGGAGAGAGGAGTAAAAGGCAGCTGGTTGAAAGGATCTTTCAATTGCTGTGGTTTGGAAACACCTGCCTTTTAGATTTAGAGAAAAGGTCATGTTTCCAGTGGCTATTGTGAGGGCGGGGTATGAAAAATGATAAAATGTCTCACTTTTAGACAGCTCTTCATATTCTCTATGGACTCTCACCTGTAGTATCTGTGGCACTGCTGAGTGATAAGGCACCTGCTGTGAAGCTGCTCTGTGTGTGTGTGTGTGTGTGTGTGTGTGTGTGTGTGTGTGTGTGTGTGTGTCTGTGTGTTGGGGAGAGGTGGAGGAGGTCTTGGCCCCATCTCTAAAGGACAAGAACCCTTTGGTTCATTTTTTTTCAGGAAGACTCGACAGCCTATGCCCCTGTCCTCCCCGACATTTAAGTCACAGCCATGAGTATTTTAAGGATGTGGTTTAGATTTAAAAACAATAATCAGATTGAAGTTTACTAACTAAAATGGAAAAGGGTTTCATTTGGTTACTTTATGGGACAGGGAGGAATTATGCATAGGGATGGGGAACATGGAGTGAAAGGAGAGAAGGAAGAATATCTCTGAAGGGAGTGGGCAATGTGTGTATGAGGGGGCAGAAGGGCAGCTATAAAAAAAACTCGAATAGGAATGCATTTGGTGAAGACCTCGAGAAGGTGAGGGTCTTTGAAGGGGCCTGGAGACTAAAAGAATATAATATGCAGGAAATTTTCTGAGATAAGGGGTGTGAGAGGGAGAGCTGTTTTGAGACGAATTGTGTATGAAGCTAAATATCAGGGCATCTGTCTGGATTTAGGGGTCTTGATGCTCTAATAGGCTTCAGAGGATTGGTGAGTCCCTGGTTCAGATTGGGCCTCATAAGAGGCCCCCATGCTCTTTTTATTTCTGGCTCCATTCATTCTCTGAATTTTCCACCTTCTCATCAGTAGCTGTCTCACACTGGAGATAGCTCTGCTCTGAGGATTACTTTCCTGATTGTTGAATCCCTAGCCAGAACCACCATTTCATTAGGGGCCCCAGCCCTGCTCACTTCATTCCCAGCAACTCTGGATTTCTTTGCCTCCTCAGTAGCCATCTCACCAGCCACTTTTGCCCCAGCCTGGGTATTTTCCCCTCCTACCTCTCCCTTTTCAACTTTTATATAGTCTTTCTCCATTAGAATATAAGCCTTCAAGGTTGGGTCCTCTTTGCTTGTATTTTTATCGTCAGAGCTTAGTAGAGCGCCTAGTACAAAGTAAATCCTTAATGTTCTAGCTGGTTAGCTAGGTGGCACAGTGGATAGAGCACTAGGCCTGGAGTCACTAAGTCCTGAGCTCAAATTCAGCCTCAGATACTTTTTAGCTGTGTGACTCTGAGCAAGTCACTTAACTTCTCTTTGTCTTAGTTTCTCTAACTGCACCTCCCTCTTTGGGTTATTGTGAGGGTCAAATGACATATTTGTAAAGTGTTTAGCACTGTTCCTGTCCCATAATAGGTGCTATATAATGCTTATTTCTTCCTTCATTGCCCAGCCCCACCATCTCAGTCTGAGGCACATTAGGGAGAGACTCAAAATGTGTGTGTGTGTGTGTGTGTGTGTATCTGAAGTGTCCCTGGGGAGGTGAAGACCAATTAGGGATTTAGAGTGAGAAATCTAATATGGAAACAGCTTGTAGGAGGACTTCTAAGGAAGAAAATGGTTGTATATGTATATAGTGCTTTAGGGCCTTTTTGGGGGGTTGGGATATTTGGGGTAGACTCAGTGACTGGAATAATAATAATGATAGCATATATATATATATATGTGTGTGTGTATGTATACACATACATACATATTGTAAGGTTCCAAAAGTGCTCCTATACATAGCCTCATTTGATCCTTACAACCCTGTGAGGCAGATACCACAGGTATCATCATCCATATTTTCTAAAGGTTACCAGGGTTCAGAGAGGTCAGGTAGGCCCATGGTCACAGAGCTAGTGAGCATGAGAGGTGGGATTCTAACCTAAGACTCCCCAGGGACCTCTCTGAGGGCAAAAAGGTGTGAGGTAGGGTCTCAGGAGTTGGTCTGGGTATCTGAAATATCAGGATTGTGGCAGGTGGCACAGAGGGAGTCTTTGAGAGTGTTGAGTTTTGGAGGAGGGAGTCGGGGGAACAGGATCTGGGGAGACTCATAGGGGCAGACTGTGGGGGGAGTCTGAGGGAAATCGGATATAGGGGACTCTAAGCGGTAGAATGTGGAGAGACTGGGGAGACAGGATGTGGGAAGACTGAAAGGGATAGGATGTGGGGGGACTCTGTAGGGAATAGAATGTAGGGGACTGAGGGGACAGGATATGGGGGGATTTAGAAGGACAGAGTGCAGGGAGACCGGGGGCACAGGATATGAGGGGACTCTGAGTAAAGAGTGTGGGGGACTCTGGGGAACAGTGTAGGGGGCCTGAGAGGGACAGCGTGGAGAAATTTTGAGGGGATAGGATGTGGGGGGCCCCTGAGGGCGCTGCACCATGCGGCGGCCAGGTCGGCCACTTTCCGGAGGGCCCCATCCCACCGCTGGGGTCACTGGGCCCCACAGTCCGGGGCGGTCCACACCCACTGGCTAGGCCCGAGGCCTGGGGAGCTGCAGGGGCCTCTCTGCCCTCACCGGCGCTCGGCCGGCCCGGCTTCGGTGCCCCCGGAAAAGTCGTCCGGCGCCATTCCGGTGCGCAGCTCCGCCGCCGCCCCGCCGCCGCCGTTCCGCTGCCGGGAGGGGAGAGGGCGCCGCCCCGCGGGCTCTGAACGCCGGCTCCACGTGAGTGGCCGCGGGCACACGGGGACATGGGGATGTGGGGACGTGGGGACATGGGGACACGGGGCCCTGGGGGGCCCTAGGGGCCCCTGGTCCGGGGATCACGGCTCCGGGACCCGACAGGGCGCGTGTGTAACAGAGTTGGGGAGCATTGGGGACGGTGTAGGTGGGGGCGTCGGAGGGAGGGGTCCGGGGCACCGTGTAATTGAGGGGGGGAGGGCCCGGGGCTGCTAGGCTGGGGTGATGGGAGGGGGTCTGTTCAGAGGTCCCTGAGCCCCTCGCCTTCCTTCTCCCGTGGGGATCTGGCCCGAAGTCCAAATTCTAGACCCCAGTGACCTCCCACAGGGAGCTTCCAGATTCCAGGCGTGGTCTGGGACAGTCACCATCCAAATGCACCCTTGGTTAGAGGTCCTTCCTTTTTTAAGGTCCAGCTGAAGGGCCACCTCCTCCAAGAAGCCTTCCCCAAACGATTGCTCCCCTCCCCTCTCCCCCATCCCTCCCAAACCCCTTCTCTCCCCCCCCTCCAATCCTGAAGTCTTAATTTCCCTCCCGCATTAATTTCTCAGGATACTTTGTTCGGCCCCTCCTATACACTTAACCACATTTTGATTTGTATTTTTATGTATTTGTATTTGAGTCTCTTCCTTGTTGCTAGATTGAAAGCTCCCTGAGAGCAGGGACTGTGTTATTCATTATATTTCCAGCCTAAAACAGCCTTGCCCTTAGTAGGTGTTTGGTATATGTATTTGTTGAAAAGAAATGTGGAGGGTAACACCGAGCATAGAGAAGTGAATGAGAATTGAGGTCCCAGTGTGACTGTAATATTTAGTTTGGCCATAAGGTGTCAGTGTAGTCTTGGGAGGAAAGCCGTTAAGGTTACTGTTGGAGTAACTATGGGCTCAGAGTGAATGTAAATAGCAACTGTTTCTGTGAGGGTCTTCCTCTCCCAGACTGATTTTTTTTTTATGACTAGGTAAAAGAGATCATTCTTTGCCTCGTTTCTTACCTAGCCTTAATCACTGATTGGTCGTTGTCTCAGACGGACAGACCCGGGAAAGACCTTAGCTTCAAGATGTCAAGGTCTTCCACTGCCTCAGGGCCACTGGATCCAGATGGATCTGGAGGAGACAGGGAGGCTGGTGACTTTGTACAGCCCTCCTTCTCTTAAAGACCATTCCCTTGCAAGTCATAGCATCACCACCTTCCTGATGTCATGGTCCTCTTTGAGAACCAAGGACAAAGAGCAGCAACAAGAGGAGCTGTAGTATAGTATAATAGTTCAGGTATACATCAATAACCGCTTCTGTCCCCGAGTACAGATGCTGTATAATTCAGTGTACCAATGTGCTGCGGCATTTTTGGACATTTTATTTAGGGTTTGCTAATATTAATAGAGATGATTCAAAAAGAAGCTGTTGAGACTATATTCCTTTAGAATTTGTAGTTATTTCATACAGTTTTAGATTTAGACAAGGCGTCAGAGGCCATCCAATCCATCCCCCCCCTTTTTTTTTTTACAGATCAGTAAACGGAGGTTAAGTGACTTGTATAGTAGTAAGTGATGACCAATATTTGAACCAGATTCTTTGACTCCAGATATAGGACTCTTTCCATCATACTTAGACTGGCCAGAAATTTGTAGTAGCCCTATTCATAAAGAAAAATGCTTATTGGCAAGTTAATAGTTCTCTTAAGAATGTCTGAATGGTTTAATGGAAGGAGACCTGAATTGGGAGTTAGCAGATTCAGGCCTTAGGCTTGTCTTTTCCACTGCCTTGCTATATAGTTTGGCAAGTCACTTATGCTCTGTGGGCTTCATCAGCACATCTTTAAAAGGATGAAGTTGGATTAGATGGTCTCTATGATGCCATCTGACTCTAGGCTCTCTGATTCTAAAGATCACAGAAAGAATACTTAACAGACTTAAAAAAGCAATTTGTGTGTGTATACTGGAAGGAAAACCTGGACCTGGGAGACAGAAGAATGAGGTTCTAGTCCAGTCCTTAACTGGCAGGCTTGAGCATAAATCATTTAACCTTACTGCTTCTCAATAAAAAGGTAATTTCTGAGAGTTCTTCCAATTCTAACCAAATATCTTTAATCATTGCTAAATATGGTGCATAT